TTCACTAAAAGAAGAAATAATTATGATATAATATTGATTGATTGCTATATGCTTAACACACATTTGCAAATGTTTCATGCATATCTAGGACAGGAATAAATAAACAATAATTCCAATAGGTAGGTTTTGGAAAGTAGTTCCACCAGGATGAAAAACAGGAAATTTAGCCGGACTCTGGAAAAAGATGGTATGTTGGATAGGGCAGACATCCAACATGCAGACTTGTCCTACATCACCATGTTACTGAAATAATACTTACAAATATTTTTTTTTATGATAATTCACATTTAAAAAATTTGTGATTTGTCAGGGGAAATAACTCCCTTAAAAATGTATATTTAACAAAGGATTTACCTATTGTCTTGTTTACCAGCATCACATTTGTTCTCCTTGTTTTTAAAGAATTTAATACAAACTATGTCAAAATAAAAATCATCTTTCCAATTGTCATTATTTTCTTTTTTGTAATCTATTTATTTGAAAAGTATTCTGCCAAATCTGAACCTAAAGACATTGATAATGCACTTTTTACTGACATTGTTGAAAATTTTGAAGAATAATATCTGAAGAAAGTCATGATCTTATTTAAAGGAATACAGCACAAGATTTTTTCTTTGTTAGTACTGCTCTAACTTAACACAGGAAATTCTCTCTTACCAGTTTAACAGGTTAAGCTGAGATTTCTTCTCTGATATGTGAAAATTTGGACTATAAGCAGTTTTTAGTGAAAACTAAATCTTTAATTATAAACTTTAGTAACTTTTTTCCATAGTGCACACTGTGTTATATTACCTAATTACCAGGCCATCAGATAATTCTAAGTAATCAAGATAAGCAACTGCATGTTTGTTTCAATTTGTTAAATTTATGACAAATTTTATAGCTTTTTGACTGAAATAAATGTAAAATGTATGTAAATTCTAATGAAGTGTCAACTTTGACCTTGTTCTGTCTTAATTACATAATAATTATGTTATAATCGTGTCATTACAAAATGTTAAGAATCACCTTTATACATGACAGGTGTCAACAAAATTGTGTTATTTTTATGTTTTAACAAGTATATGCTTACATGTTTTTTTTTTTAAGATACAGTTGAATTTTTTGTTAACAAGTTTTATGCTAGATTATCTGTGTGGGCATACAGTTTGTACTTTTGTACTGAAATGAGCTGTTTTATGCTAGACTATCTGTGTGGGAAAACAGTTAGTACATTTGTTCTGAAATGAGCCTTGCAATAACAAACAGTAAATCACTGGTCTTTTGGTCTTTTTGTGTCGTTGGGTTGCTGTCTCATTGATGTTTAACCTATACTTACTTTCATTCATATAAATAATCAAGTATTAGTTTATATGTTATACCATCATATTTTTTATTGTCCTGAACATTCAAGAAATATTTGCCACTGGACATAAAACAGACAATAATCAATCAATCAAATTTTTGATATCTAAATTAAAAAGAGCAGGTCTCATGGTTGTTTAGAGGGCCATCATGCTCAGTCTTTAGTTTTCTGTATAGTATTTTGTGGACTGACATCTAATAACATTTGATCTATAGAATAGAAAAAAAACCCAGAAAGAATACAGCCCTGGTCAATTACAATTTCAAGCAAAACATAGGGTTGTTCTGAATATGCATGACTTATTTGCCATTAGATATTAAGCAACCAACAATCAATCAGGTGAACAACACTTAAGTGACATGAGCCTTGCATTTTTAAGCATCAGCTGTAACTTCTTAATAGTGTTGTCCTATTCCCCCTCTTGAAACGACTCCTTACCCATTTCCTTCATAAATGTCAAAATGGCAACAATCACAGAAAAAACCAGAAGCTTCAAACTAACTTTGACCCTATTTTAGAAATTTAACAACCTTAATTAGACTGAAGGGTAATTTCAGGTTTATGAATAATTTTTTTATCATTATGAGAAATATAAGAAGAAATGAATCAAATAAGCAAGCTGCTGAACATTAAAAAAATCTAAATGACCAGACATTTCTGTGACTCAATGTCTATATAACTATGACATTAGCACACTTTGCAACCTTTTACACTTTTGTTTGCCTTCAGAATTAAAATGATTCTCTGATCTTACATGAAATTAAGCGTAAGAATGATATTGATCAGGTTTTTTTGAGATAATGCCATTGATAGAGAGAATTGAATGTTAATTTCATGAAATTGACAAATGACATTTAAAGAACAGAATGCATTCTGTTTTAGAGTAACTCCTACTCTGCTTTTAATAGAACTTGCCCAGATTTTCAAATATAAGGCTTGGTCCATAATAGGTTATAGTTTTATTGAAATAACATTATTTTGTCACAATCCTTTAACCATCATGTGTCCTTTTAAATTTCATAAAGGAAACATGTGAGATTGTTCCTAAATATCAGCAATCTATTATATAATATAATTACATAAAGAAGTAAAAAGAACCTTCCTGTATAATCAGACATTTGAACCAAATGAGGCAGATAATATAATTGAGCACAATTACCCAACACTTCAGATAGTTATTTGACAGAGCTCAGCAAACATAGAGAAATTGATTTTTGTTCAGTTAGAAGGCAGAATGTTTTGATTAATATTTCATACAGAAATATCCTAAATGATGACAAAACCTATCAATATTTGAAGGTGAAGCAGTAGAAACAATATTGGATTTAATAATAAAGCAATGCTTTTTCAAATGAAGTGTTTTTGTGACAGAATTTCAGGTAATAACTGGTATAATTTATGAATAAAATATTTTAATATCTTGTCATCATTAATTAAAGTAATTAAATTAATTATTTTAAAATTGTCATTTATTACTAAAACAAGATATAGTACCTATTTATGCAGATCATCTCTCCTCATGGGGAATTTTGTAGTGATAAAGAAACTTATCAGGGCATGATTGTTAAATTATCATTCTGCAAATATTTAAAATAAAGCATCTGCAAAATTTCCATTGGAAAAGTCTTATGCAATGTGCAAAGTTGAATTTACAAGTGGTAAATCTAAATTTTCCTATTATCAAATTTCTCAAGCAGTTTCAACAACCAGTTGTTTAATTTTTAACAATTTTTCTAGGAATTTAGATTGATTCTAGGTGTTTAACACCACTTTTGGCTTTATCGTGGCAGCAAGTTTTTATTGGTGGAGTTTCCGGAGAGAATCACTGACATTCAGTAGGAAAACTGGCAATCCTAGTCAATTAAGATAGATTGAATACACTTGCCACGATTGTCACTCCGTGTTGACAGGCTAGTGATAACTGTACATAAAATACTTAAACCACTTGGCCACCAAGGCTCTTTCCAGAAATTTAAAGCTTGTGACATATGGTATAGTAATCTACTGTTGAAAACCATATATTGTCCTCTAAACATTTTTCTTTTTTGGTTTTTGTGTGTCATCAGGTTGCTGTCTCATTGAGGAATACCCCACATCTACTTTTATTTGTATTTATGCAACAAACAGGAAGAAGACAGGCAAGGGATCAGAAAACCTGTCATACCAAACAGCTTATCCAGATAAAAAATCGTAACAAACATGAAGTATCAACAATCTTTAGTTGCTGAGAAAAATCCAACAGAAGTTAGAGGTAGATAGACAGATAGAAGAAAGTATGCTGGCAGGAATTGGTTAACAACTTTACCCCTCCATTGGAGCTTGGGTACAAAAAATGGCGAAGTGTTAGATCATTATGATTCTATGACTTCAAATTAATTGCTTCACTTCCCAATAACTGCTGCAGAGATGTAACAAAAAAGTCCTCTGCAGGTGATGTAAACAGTTATGTAATGAACAAGAAAATCGTTATTTGTCACAGGTAAATAGAGATTTGTAATAGGTGTGTTCTATAAATTCCTTCCATTACAAGCAACACATCCCCAATAAATCTATTAAACTTTTGATTATTAGAGATTCATGACGAAACATTTAAGTAATTTACGTCAATAGGTAAACTCCGATGTAACACCTTTTGATTCATTTTGCACGTTGGAGACTTTCAAGTTTAAAATACATGAAGAGTAATCATTAGGTTTAAATCTACCTTAAAATGACTTATCTTTTAAGCATTGTTTGATTACCACTGATTTTAAGAGGGTTTCAAACGAGGGGCTGCTGAGAACAATTTGTCGGAATCATAATTTTTTTTCAAAGCGAGAAATAGACATTTTAACTAAATTAGATTTAAAAATCTTTAACATTTTTTACACTTTTGTCATTTAAGAACGCATTAAAAAATTTTCCTCCGACAATTGTGACTGTTTATTGTATTACATGATATCCCGCTGCGACTCCCTCTTACATCACGATTTAAATGCCTTCTTACACTTAACTTAATACAAGATAAAATATTGAAGGGTGACAGAACATTTTAACTTCAATTTTCTTTCTTTTTGTAAACCGTTACAGAAAATTTTTGCTTTGTTAAGAATCTGTTAAGATGTGTACATGGTTTATGGCTACAATATACTATTACATAGCCAATATATGATACAGTCAATATAAATTACCACTAAACTGTGAATAGAAAATTAACTTTAATTTCAAATAATGATACTTCAAGGTGAAATTTGATAAATAAAAGTCATTTAATTGTATATTTTCTTTCACACTAACAAAAGAAAAACATAAAATTTTGCACTTTTGAGCAAGAACTGTTTTCTGCAAATGATAAAATATTCTAATTTCAAAGTTTTTCATGTAAACTCATTTATTAGTTTTGAAATACATAGACCTATTGCTTAATAAACCTATCTTTAATTTCATTTCTATTCTTTGACTACTGACTCCTGTTACTTTTGTAAGTTGATAAACTTGACCTATTCTTTGAATTTAAGTCTGAAACAGATTTTTCTTTAATCTGGAAAAAGATACCCAAAGTACTACATCACAAACATATTTAAAGCAAAAAAAAAAAACAAAGGAGGATACATATAAAAGAAATAAAACTAAACACTATATCTACTACATAATGACACTGTCACAAATAACTTACTGTTAAACAGCTAATTAGACTGCCTTCAAAAGGAGGCTGGAAAGCTCTTAAGTCTGAGCACCACTCAAGTAGCTCACGTGCTGCGTTCTGAAACCCTGAAGGTGAAGACAAATGCTGAAACAGAAAATATACAATCTAAGTCATTTATATAAAAAAAGAATATGTGTCCATTGGCAACATGTCCCACTTGCAAAATCTCATTTTCATGTTCACTGAACAGCATAAACCTGGTTCTGGGTAAACAACTGATACATACACAGACTACAAATCATAATGCCCCTTACTATCATAGACAGGGCATAACATTCCTTTTGAGATTTTAAAATTCACAAAGAGAGTATGTTTTGCAAAAATCTGTTATCTTTTTTTCTTCAGGGTGTATGACTAGTTGAGAGGCTTTTTTCATTTCCTTTCTTTCTATATTTTATCAATGTCTCCTGAATGATGAATTTTGAATGAAATGAACTTGAAAAAAATTGTTACAAAGCCAAACTGAATGAAAGGAGATGTGAGATACAAGTTAATGAGACCCATCAACACAAAAACAAAAAGACATCTAAACTATTTAAACAATTAGGAGCCTCGGTGGTGGAGAATTCTAAATAGTTTGTCTACTGTATGACTGATATGTCAACACTGTCAAAGGTTGTGAGTTCCAACCCTGCACATGGCAGATGTATTGGACTTCAATATTGATTGTCTAGTTAGTCTTCCTGATAAAGATCTGTAGTTCTCTCTGGCTTCCTCTACCAATAATAAGTGATCGCCATTATATAGCAAATAGTGCTGAAAGTGACGTTAATCACCAACAAACAATTATCGCCATCATATAGCAAATAGTGCTGAAAGTGGCGTTAATCACCAACAATCAATCATCGCCATCATATAGCAAATAGTGCTGAAAGTGGCGTTAATCACCAATAATCAATCAATCAAATAATGAAGTCATTTTGTTTAATTATTGAGACTTGAAAAAATATAGTCATAACAAATGGAGCTAAATCATATTGAGTCTCTGCAGATTTAATATATTTATGCAACTCAATCAAGACTCGCAGCACTAAACAAATTACAAAAAAAAACCCAATGCAACCAGTACAAATAAGTTAACAAGATGATTCTTTGGTTAAGCCATTTGATAAATATCCTCTCAGTAGCCTAATGTTTTACCTGTACTATCTAACCTTACAACTATTTGACCAGCACATATTGGCAGTATATTGTATATTGAACTTTTGACATCCTTATAGTAGCAAATAAATGGCTATTGCCGTCAAAATCTATAGCATAGAGAATACAATTAATGAAGCATGATTGATGTACTACAACAAAAACAGACCATTCCTGTTAATTCTCTTACCTTCTTCATAAGTTGATATTATCAGTGATATATTTATACAAAACAATTCTACCACAGAACCGAAATTCTGGGGAATGCCAGGAAAAAAAGATTATTGGTAATAGATATTCCACAGTTAAATTGTTACAAGAAAGTGATAACAGATAAGTAAACTAAGAAAATAGTTTAGTTTTATAAAGTGTAGTATCTCCTCTAGCTCAGGTGTTAAAACATACCTTAATGTTTACCCAACTGCCTGTTAAGACATCAATGTGTAATTAGGAGGGTCAATATTTCAACATATTCATCTCAATTTAAACTTGATGACTTATAACAATACTAAACAGAAAGACAACATTACAGTGCAAATATTTTCTGTTCTAACAACTATACATTGTAAAAATATCATTCTTTAAGCAGATACAAAAAGTTGAAGTAAATTTCCTATTTTTTTCTTTAAGCAGATACAAAAAGTTGAAGTAAATTTCTTAATTTTAACACTATGAGTATGTGCATATACTAGGTGATCAAATGCCTCCAAAATGTTCTACTGTTTTAAATGATTATTTCTATTGTTCCTAAATTAGTTGTCTTAACTATCTGATTTATAAACCTTGACCTGAATGTACTAAAATGTTACCTTTTCTTTCAATAATATATGTATTGACCTTTTTGTCTAGCATGACGTTTTTCTATGTTAAATTATATGAAATCATTTAAAATTGATTACATTTTTTTTCAATTTTAAAACAGTGTATCAGATTTTTCAAATTGACAGATAAAATTGATTGTTTAATTTGACAATTTTTTTGCTATTCAGACCAGAATTATATGAAGGGGAGTAACTCATGTAGACTACTTCATTAATTTGTTAGCCAAGATAAAGAGATTGTTTCCAGATGTGTTTAATCATTATAACTTTAAACAAACCTTTCCACAAATATTTTACATTGCAAATGATATCATTTCCATCTAATGATCTAGTTCATGCTATATGAATCCCAACTTTTTTTCTTCAGAGAAAAGTACACAACAGCATTTAAAAAAAACTAATTGGCAAAAATCTTTTCTTATACTTCATAAACAATAGGAATTTTTATTTAGTATATTTTTATCTTTGGTTAAAGCCAGAAGTTAAATCTAATTTAGTTTGGCAAACAGATATGCACCATAAATTAATCGTTTTTGATGGATTTAACAGCATTTTGTAAGGAATTAAAATTATCTTATCCTGCAGATGCAAAGAAAATGCAGTTTTTTTTCCTACAGCAAGCTGTTATTGGTAATTTCATATCAAAAGATTATTATGAAAATATGTCAGTGATATATATTTCTTTGTACTTGTTTATCAGTAAATCATTTACTCAAGATTGGAATTAATTATGCTTTTAAAAAACAAAGAAACGTGAAGGGTGTGGTAGCAATGTTTTTCAAATTTAAAGCAATTAATGCCAACATGAAATTGAGACTTAGAAAGTGTTTTGTACAATAATATGCCCAACATATATAGTGAGCTATGTGTCATCAATGGCATAGAATGAGTACAAAAACTAAAATTTAGTAAAAAGAAATACACATAGGTCATAGTGCAATTATTTCTCTAAATATTAGTTGCAACTTTGCTTTTATGGGATTTTTTCAAAAATTCATATTGATTTTTTTGTCAAAAGTTTAATTGATGCTCAATGGTGACACCATGTTTGATGGGTGTTTAAGATTATAACCATAATTCTTTAAAGGAGATCACAAGTGGTTTATTTTTTACCAAGAGTGGTAAAAATTGACCATTTTGTCAATTTTTCAAATGTTCTTTATTTTTTTTCACTATTTTTTAAATGGTGGCAGTCATTAAAAACAGTGTAGTTATCAACATTATTCTAATAAGCAATCTTAAATGTACAGTATCATTTGTCCAAACTTTTGTATCAATCAACATTTCCCTAATTATTCATAATTATTTGTCCGATTTTCTAGTCTTAGTAACAGCAGCATGGTTGATAGCAATGGGTCATAGTTCTCACAGGGAAACAGACAGTGAAGGTCATGTTAGATCACTGTTGGGGTCACCATCGTAATTTCTATAGGGAATCATTGTCATTCTCCATAACTTTATACAACATGGCCTTTTACTTCTTGACTCAAAAACGATTTCTAAATAGGAGTCAGATAGGACACAAATGCCACATTCTTGATTGATTGTTTGGTGTTTAATGCCACTTTCAGCACTATTAGCTATCTCTTAGTGGTCAGTTTTTATTGGTAGAGGAAGACAGAATGACCAGAGAGAACCACTGACATCGTCCATTAAGACCTCCACATATTTTCGAAATAAGGATTCTTTTTGGAGCACATATCATCTCACTTAGAATTCATTAAAAAAGAGCTTCATACTTCAAAGGTATATATGAAATTATCCAACAGATTGGTTTTAAGGCAAAGGAATGCTAGAGGTCTTATGTTTTGTATGCTGCTTATCTAATCTGCTAATAATAGAAAGAATCATGGAATGTACAAAATGAATAATTGAAAAATATGAATTTTTATATGTTGCATTATATGCATTCCAAAAGGGTATCAATGAAAGCATGTTATTAAACTTTATCATATGAACATTGCCAAACAATATTGGAATTTAGATGATATATGAATAGTGTAGGTACAGGGTTAAGTTACTTTAATACTTAATATATATATTCAAGTCATTTATTTTTTCAAAATTTGTCATATCGATCAACATTTGTTAATGGACGAAAACTTAATATATATTGTTTTAAATAATTTCCATTTTCAGGAATTGCAAAATTGTGTCCCATGGTCATTGACAATTACACAAAATCTTCATTTTCATCAAATATTATAAATCACATTTTTTTGTAAATCAAAATACCATTCTATAAAAATCCTCAACAATTTACACAAACATTAAGAAATAAATTAATTGAGGAAGGTTTACCAATAACAAAGCTGTTTACAATGATTATTTACGAAGGTCGTTGAACCCTATTTATGTAGTATTGGAGATAATTACTCAACTCCAAGATCTACAAAACATTAATTGATATCTTTTGATGTAAACAAAATAAGATTATCATTTAACAAGAAATGTATAAGGAGTAGCCATATGCTCCTAGATTTTATTTAGTTCATTAGTACTGAACAACAGATAACACTATCAAATATCTTCTATTTATAGTAACAATAGCCATGTTGGTTGGTTGGTTGGTTGGTAGTTATGGTGATAGTGTCATTTAATAAAAAAAAGTTACACACTCTTAATATGGATTGGGGACAAGATTTATTCATATTGCCTGTTTTTATCAAAATATACGAACAAGCTATTGCTGGAATATAGTCTTTTGTGCTAAGGTAGTGCAGAGCAAAATCCAATCAATCAATCATATTGCCTTAAGGGTAGTTTAAAAGAATTGTTACAAAAATGTTAGATTTCCTTTTTATCAATTGGAAAGTCACATTATCTTCTTGTTTTATACTACTATATCTGCAATTTCTAAAATTGTCAGGTCTCAACTAATATTGTGCCTAGTAGAAAATCTAAAATTGTGATAGTACTATTTCCTATGTTTTAATACCTGTTTAATACAACTAAGTCTATCTATTGTCTGTTGAATATGTCTTTCCATTTCATTCATGGTGGTCCCTTTTTCTGTGGATCACACAGGTACATTGGGTAGACTTCAAACATTGGTATATATAGTGGAAGATAAATGGTATGAATGTCAAAACTGGATTTCCCTTTCTAATTGTACTGGTTTAAATGTATATGGTTACATGGTTGGTAGTCTGAAATAACAAAAGTAACCAGATTAAAGTTACCATTACAACTTCCTGATGTATACAACAAGTGCAAACAAGGGCAATAACTCCACAATATCTCCTGGAGAGGGGTACACAAATACTAAGCAGATTCAAAATCTACTCTGACATAAAAGTAATATATGATATATTAACTCTAAAATTGAGGCCAATTTGCATAAGTAGTAACTGAATTGATATCCCTTTTATATTCACTAACAACATGTGGAGACTAAAATAGATCCAATGTGTCTGTTTTATATAAGAAAATAAAAATTCTGACAAAAAAAAATATAGGACCAAACAAAACCAATTGTAAAATTGTATGCAAGTGTAAAGTAGAATGTTTAAAAAATTCAAATGAATTATAAAAAAAACCCAGAAAGGTCAAGGCTACAATGTCCATGACCTTTAACAGAGTAACACAGTTACTAACAGCAACAATTATTTTAGTACTTGGCAACACCTCACAACTCAATTATTTTCTCAATGAAAAATGAGAAAGAAAACAGAAAACATAGATAATTTGTCTGATAAAAAATATTTACACAATAAACAACCATCACCTCAGACGACCTTGGCAATCATTAATAGATACATCTAAATACCACAAATAATACATATCAGTGTAAAGATATCTTGTCTAGCTTGTTAAGAGAATAGCTGTTGCACACAAAAAACGTTGTGCACCGAGAGTTCATCATGATTGTCAGTAACTGTTAAAGATACTATAATTATATACCCACTTGCAAGAAATCATTATATAATAAATAGATCTTCTGAGTAATTGATACTGCAACAATTTATTTCATGTTCACAAAATAGAACAGTGATCAGGTTTCCTTTCTTTCATTTATGCCTTTTATCATCAAGCATCAAATACACATTTTTAACATACTGGAAGAATCATGTTGACCTTGAATATTTTTCCAATTTGTCCAACTTTTTTTTTTCTTCTATCATACGTGTCAAGGAAAGACAAAACTTTGGTTACCCTGGTTATAAACAAAACGTTCCCATGAATCTTCATGGACAATCCCCCCCCCCTTCTTTAGACCATCTGCCTTATGCTTATGTCTAACAATTCATTTCTGTGAGATCAATCTAAAAACCTGAATTTTGGTTAAATGAGTAGGACATTAACATGTAACCAGAGTAAACAACAAAACTACACAAAATTTAAAAAAAAATGACTAACAAATCAAATAAAAAGTTCATACAACATTTTACTGAAGGCCTAAATGTAATTTGGCTTTTTTTAGCCTTTAAATGAAAAAAATATATATGGTTCCTTATTGAGTATTTATTATTTACAATGAAATAGAAATTAAACAAAATATAAAGTACATATGTTAAAGAAGCAAGACACTGACCGCCAATATTTAAACACAAAATATCTATTCAAGTAAAACATTTGTAAACTTGTCACCTGTTTGGGAGATTATAATTTATTTTGACAATATAGATACCAACTATTGATAGCCAAAAAGCAAACAATTTATGTGGATAGTTTCACAGACAACAATATGATTTATATTTTTTCTATAAAATCTCTTTTGACATTTGCCGTAAGATGACCCCAGTTCACTCTTCAATTATAAGACTATTTGTATTAAATCAGATGGCCTAACATTAAACAAAGACACCAGGTGAGGCTGGCAGATGTTTTACCTGCTGAAACAAGGAGAAGGTGAATAAAATGACAATATTTTGTTTATTTACTGTTTTATTAGGGTAGCTACTTTTCAACCATACAATATTGACATATTTCATAATGATTCAATCTACTTTTTAAAAAATATTCAATTTTTTCATCATTTTTTCTCCTACAAAATTATTTTAACTGAAAACGTCATTTTTGTTTCTATACAATAAACCGCAACCCAACTTATTTTTTTGCATACCTTTTCATGTTTAGCTCCTCCTTGCAGAATTCATGGCAATTCATTTTCATGATTAACTAGCTTTATTAATGTATTCATATTTAATAAGATATTATCAAAGTTTTACATGTTCACGATTTTTTTTCTTCCTGAAAGAGTTATGAAAATAAATTGCTGGCTAAAAATGAGTTGGTTTGCAGTATGCAGTTGAATGACATTTAATCGGCTATATTATAGTGCAGTCTCTATCCCCTTCTCACCTCAACGCTTTCAACAGTAACAATCTGCTCAGAACAGCAATTTAAAAAAACTTAAACTTACTTAAAGAATTAGTTTTTGACAAAAAATATAAAAGCATACAAGTTACATGTATCATGTTTCACGACATTTAATTACATTTTTGTATATAATTATATATAAATTATAAAATGATTTTACTATAATATCAAGGATGACTGCTATTCATCTTAGTTAATGGAATGTTACCAGGTGAAAATTTGATAAAACTATTATAAATATTTTTAGTTTATTGAATGTTTTATGCAAAATTTACAACGAGAACATCATAATTTTGAATTATATTAAGATTTTGGCAGCCTATCAAAGTGATTACAGAGAAGGATGTCTTAAGCATTCTTTACAAAGTCAGAATCAATGCTTTAAACCAGAAAACCTTGTATAACATAAGATTTAAGTACTATGAAAAGAAGAAGTACATTAGTCTGCTATCAAAAAAAAACTTTAAAGTTTAAAAGAAAAATCATAAATCTACTTACATATGTAATTACAACTGCTAATATGCAATTTGAGGTTTCCAATATTTAATTTCTATCAGTTTTGGCTCATTTGTTATATATCTCTAAGAAACAAACAGCCATTAAACCTCCAACTAATTGATATTTAAGTAGCGAGAAAAAAAGACCAATTCAAAATACATAAGGGTGCCTCATATAAAGAAAAATAAAAGTAACATTTGCATGAAACTAATGAAACATGGTATGATTGTCAGTGACAGGAACTATTCAAGAAGTCTCACAAATTATCAATGCTGGCAAGGGCCATAATTGTGCCATAAGTGTATGTCCACTAGAACATATCACCAACCACCTGTAACTCATCAATATACCTTTTCAATTACCAAAATATCAACTTGATACAGATTGCATAAAGAAAAATATATTTTGCAAGCCGTAATGGCAGATAATGGGTAAAAAATATACCCCTCAGTTAATTTTTGGGCATAAAACAGTTGTTTTATTTATATTTCAAAAGAGAGAACCAACTTTGCTGATGGAATTTCAAGACATTCTACACAAAACTTTAATAAAATTGTTTGACATATCACTTTTTCTGTGATAAATGAGAAAACATTTGGGGTTGAGTAATTATTGCTTTTCTTACAAATTTACAAGTCCTAGACTGATCACTGAAGATGACCTCATCAAGTCATGTAAAATAAAAATAATCATCTGATATCTCAATATAGCATCAGTACTATTGGAATTTTGGGACAAAATTTCATGAAGATATTGTGTGCTATACTACAAAACAAAAAACAAAGCAATACTGAAGTGTGGACACATAAAAATGTTCAACTGTAAAATAAATCTGTAATAACTGATGCAGTGACATATAAAAAGAATAGAAACACAACATTCTTATTGATTTGTCAAACCTCAAAGGAATCTCTGCTGCAACATTTTATTCATATTAGAGATGTTCTTTAATATTTGGTGAAATTTGAAAAATGTGCTCCGCCTGAAGCAGCTGGATACGACCGCAGAGGTCGAACTCTGAACAGTTGGGGCAAGTATGGACACAATATTCAAGCTTGATACAGCTCTGAATTTGGATAGTGATTAAATATTTGACACATTATAGATTTTTGACACAGAATAAATGTGGTCAGATAACTTAAAAATTTGAAATGGGACATTTAATCTACTTAATGGTCCAATATCCGAAATCTAATTCCATTGTTAGATTCAGTATATATAAAAAAAAACATGAGTTCAAACAAAGTTTAATTTTGGACCCTTTGGACCTTAATATGGACTAATTTGAAAACAGGGCCCAAAATTAAAAATCTGAATGCACATTTAGATTCAGCATATCATAGAACCACCAGAATTCAGTTTTTGATGAATCTAACAAAGTCTAATTTTGGACCCTTTTGACCTCAATGTAGACCTATTTAAAAATGTCCAAGTATCCAATATAGTAATATTTGGTAAAAACCTCCAACAATTGAAGACTTTAAATTAATCTTCATTGAAATTGGTTAAAAGATTTGCATTTATTTTCAATTGAAGATTTCTTTCTGTTGTGCAATACTTTGCTGTTGCGCAATACTTAGTAAATCTGTTTACAAACTAAATATAATAATTTACACACCTGTTTGGTGTGTATCTCCTGCCATATTGTTGTTTCTTTATCCCCCCCCCTTTTTTTGCCCCTTATTCCTGAACGGTTTGAGCCATAACCCCCAAAGTCAAACCCAACCTTCCCTTTGTGGTATGGAACCTTGTGTTTCAATTTCATAGAGATCCATAGACTAATACTTAAGTAATTGTCCATTAACCAGAAAATCCTTGTTTTCCCCCCTTTTTTGCCCCTTATTCCTGTACGGTTTGGGCCATAACCCCCAAAGTCAATCCCAACCTTCCCTTTGAGGTATGGAACATTGTAGTACAATTTCATAGAGATCCATACATTTATACACAAGTTATTGTCCGGAAACTAGAAAAATACCATTTTTGGCTACTTTTTGACCCCTAATTCCTAAACAGTTGGGACCATAACCCTCAAAATCAATCCCAACCTTCCTTTTGTGCTATTGAACCTTGTGATTAAATTTCATAGAGATCCATTCACTTATACTAAAGTTATTGCCTGAACACCAAATGTCTTCGGACGACATCAACATGATAGCAATATAAGAACGCGAATTTTTTGCGGTCGTATAAAAAAAACTCTAACTGAAAAAGTGACTTTTCCAAGGAGTTATATCTTGGTAGAATTAATGGGATTCAGTGAGCCTTATAATACTGGTACTCCTTATCCTTGACCTTTTTCCTGGTTACCTTTATGGCTAGACAAGCAATG